AGCAGCTGGGTTTCCTGGCGCTGGGAGCCGAGAAGTAGGGCTCAAGGGGCCGCGGCGCAGCCAGGTCCAGCCGCTCGGATAGCGCTAGCGTCCCGGAGCGGACCGCGGGCTGGGCTCGAGCTCGCTGGCCTCGCAGCGCCCCTGCCAGCGGCGCCGCGCTTCGCGCCCCCAGGCCCACCCCATGCAGTCCCGCCGCCTCTGCAGCCCAACAGCCCTCCTCGCGCTGGCGAAGCCCTGGAGGAAACTCTTGACTCTGAGCTAGAACCTCTCTGCCCCTTCCCTCAGCCCATTAACCCCCGACCCTCACCTCCAGCCTCTCTTCTTAGGGAAAAGGTGAAAAAAAACGAGAAAGATGGTAAAAACAACAACAACAACAACAACACACGTTAGGAAGAGAATTCTCGCCAGCAGAAGAAGGGGTTTAGAAAGTGGGCACCCCTTACAAATCCTCTTCTGTTTCTTACTTAGAAATCAAAAACCGCACACACACACACACACACACACACACACACACACACACAGTTGTGTTTTCCAAGAAAAGGTGGGGGGGGCAGTGTAGAGGAGAAATAGCCACCAAATTTTTTTAAATGGTTTTCCTGATTTGACGTCTGCTGTTTTGACATTAATGACATTAATGTTATTGATGTTCAGGGAGAAAAAGGCAAAAGAAATAAAGAACTTGAAAACGAAATGATCATCATTTCCTTTTTCTTCCATGCCAGAAATAGACCCCTTTCTTCACCTGAGCCTGAAACAGACTTATTGTTCTCAGGTGTTTCCTTCATCATATGCATTTACCCGTCTGAAGTCGCAGGAAATGGTTTTTCCACCAGTGAGCTTATACATGGAGCTCTCTCCTGCAAAGGGCTTGATCTTTTCTGATTTGAACCTGAAAAGTTTCCCTGCCTTCATTTCCCCTCTGTCTCTTTAAAAGCTCCCACTCCCCTTCCCCATGCACACACCTCAAATAGTTTTTTTAAAGCCAGAAATTTTGCTCTCTGGGGTGTTTTTCGGTAAACAGTAATGCTACATAAACACCTTTTTCACTTACAAGTTGCAGAGAATTCAAATTTTACCCCTGTGTGCATGTATGTTTCTTAAGGCATATGGATAAGCCCCACTGAGGTGCAATGAGATACTGCTAGCAAATTGGTGATTCAGTTGCTGTGTAAAGGTGGGGCTGTAAATAACCTAACTTTAAAATCTTAGAAAGCCTTCCACTTTCAGCAAATTTCTTCCCAAAGAAGTTTAAAATGGAATGAAGTCTTTGGAGAGACAGATGATTTTCTTTCTGTTAACATTTAGTAGCCCTGGTTTCTAAAACACTAGTACCTGCACTGACTCCAGATTCCTAAGGTGGTGATTTGCTTTTTTCACTTAATAAAGACCATATCTAGGGTTTGTTTCCCTCCACTCCATGCCTTTGGACTTTCATTGTAACTTTAGCCAGCTGCTGAAGGCAACCAGCTTTCCTGATCTGGGCCTAGGTCTGCTTTTTTTGTGCGGACTGTGCTTTTATCCTCCCAGGTGTTTTGTTCAGTTTTTAATCCATTTGCATCAGTCCTAGGATTTTCCAAATGTTCCCTGATAACGCAAGGTTTTAGGCCTGGAAAGATGCATGTTTGCAGCCTCTGTAGTTCCAAATACTTGTGCGATAAACCTTTCTGTTGGTATTTGGTAGATTTGGTGCTTAAGGCCTAAGACAAGGTTTTGAAGCAGATCCTGGTGATCCAGAACTTCAAAGGCCTGTCAACTCAAAGGCAGCTGACACCTCACCTGTCCAGGAAGCTGGACATTGCAAGTATTTCCTGTTTTTAGCTCATTTGATTTGTTATTCTTACTTTCTCTTTAGAATTCCTATTTCAGAAATATTACCTAGATGATATCTACCTGTGACCTGTGGTTTAGTTGTGTAAAGTGCATCAAGATGCTGAGTAGCAATGCATATATATATATATATATATATATATTCCATATTCAGATATATGTGTGTGTGTGTGTGTGTGTGTGTGTCCCATATTGAGTAGGGGGTATTTAAAAGTATGTCTATTCCTAGTTTTAGTTAATTATCTTTTAATGAAAGTGTCACTCATTTTCACATCTGTAATATTGGAAAGAGATAATTAGATTTTCAAATGAGAATCTGCCACCTTAAATTTTGCACCAGAAAATACCAAGTATATTTCATTCTAATGAGATCTGTAGTGGGATTTTAAAATTCATCATAATGTGCTTCAAGAAAGATAACTCAACAGACTCAAAAGATGAAAGGTTTTTCTTTTCTAAGTCTTCTTAAAGTTATTACATTGAACTTATGCAATTCTGATAAAATATTCAAGAATATTACATAAAGGCCAGAACTGTACCCCCCCTCCTCCATCATTCTTGTAATGGTCACTTATTCTCATTTGGAAGTTTTCTTTGACTAACGGCTTCCATCTCCCATACCCTGGGTATTCTCTCCTGCGTATACAAGTGAAACATACGTGTTTAAATAGAGTGGCTACGGATCCAGAGTGCAATTCCTCCTTTGAAAATAGGCTGAGCTGAGCGGTGTTTGCACACAGCCAGGCACCCTTTATTTACATATATCTGCATATTTGCTCAGGCCCCCGCATTTCACCATTAAAGTGCGTTCATGTGTACAGCAGAATAAACCAGGCAGAGAAAAGCTCTTCATTACCCTAACTCATATTTCTGCTTAAAGCTTGCTAGTAAACAAATCTCTAGTCTGATAATAATTACTTTGCCTCATTAAAATAAAAAAAAAATCTCGAATGGTTAAAGGGCAATGCTTTGGCGGTATCTATGTTTTATTTCCTTCTCCTTCTTGCTCTGTGTGTGTGTCTGTGTTTGTGTGTAAGAGTGTGTATGTGTCTAATGAAGTTTGGGAGTCGCGGGCAGGGGCTCGTGGGGTGCGAGCCCCGGAGGTCCCCAACCCCTGTCCTCTCCGCGGTCGCCGAGTCCCGGGCTCCAGCCGCAGCGCTCCGAGCCTTGGAAGCCGTGAGGCTCGGGAGCTGCTCAGAGTCCGGGCTGCGCGTCATTTGCAGTCTGGGGAATGTTGATCACCTCACTAATTACACCTCTCTCTCCCCCCTCTCCCTCTCCCTCTCCCTCGCTCTCCTCTCTCATTCCCAGAGTGCATATCGGGAATAGACACACAAAGACATGCGCACTCAACTTAATCAGCCATTTTTTTAAACAGGGCTAAAACGATAATAATTAGCAGAATAAAGACATATCGGATTTTCATTTCCTTTCCTCCTTTTCCCAACCCCTTCACAACCAAACAGCGAGACCGCGGTCGGCACATGCTTTAACTCCTCCCGGACCCCCGAGGACCGCTCCATGCCCCCCACTTTCTGCTCCAGCGTTTTTATTTTCACCCAATAAAGTTCGAGGATTATTTTTTTATTATTTTTTTTATTTTTTTTAATGAACCCTCTCGTTTTACTTGGATGTGATCAGCTGTAAGTAAAATAAAAGCAAAACAAAAAAGAGGCGAAGATCGAGTAGGAACTGCAGGGGAAATGGAAAGTAAGTTTTTTCTTTAACTTTTATTGAGTAGTTTGTGTTAAATTTAGGTCGAGTATCGATTATCTTTCCAGCCTGATCTTGCACAATCTTTGATATTTCGCTCCCTCTCTCTCCCTCTCCCTCTCCGCCTCTCTCCCTCTCTGCCCCTAGCTCGCTCGCTCCTGCTCGCTCTCGCACACATCCCCTCATCCCGACCATCTCTTCCGCTCTGCCCCCCTTTTCTATCTCTTTCCCCTTTTTTTGGCTCAAGGATTTGCTCTGCTGAGGGAGGGAGGGGGCACTGAGGGACCTGATTTTCCACTTTCTCTAGGGGGGCTGCGTTTTTCGGAATTTAACTTTTGGATTAAGCGGCAGAGGATCATCTACATTTGCTTGGGCGGTTTTCTCTCCTTTTCCCTGTCTTTTCGGGTTCTGCCTTCCCCGCGAGCCTGGGGCATTCCAGTGGCTGGGGGAAGCTGTCAGCTCGGCAGCGGCGCGGGCAGTGCCAGGGGTCCCCGCTCGCCCCGCGCCCCGGAGCCCCGGCCGGGATGACTCGTCCTCCGCGCCCATCTCTGAAAGTTTGGACGTTGGTCTGTGGGGCTGGGAGCCCTTCTCTCCCTGCCCTTTCCCTGTTTTACCCTCCCCTCCCCCGCAACCTTATTCTTCAGCCTGGTTTTTCTTCCTCCATTTACCACCCGCCCCTCTTCCCCTTCTCAAGTTCCGCGAAGGTCGCTTAGTGTGCGGGGCTGGCGGAGGCCCGGGGCTTCGTGCGCTCCGGGGAGGGGATTCCAAGAGGCTGGGGCGAATGCTGGGGCTGGGGCTGCAGGTAGACACCCGCCCACCGGAGCGGGCGCGGCGGGCACTGCCTAGCACTGCTCTCGGCGGGCCGGGCGCGGGCGGCGCGGGCTAAATGCAGGTCCGTTAGGAGGCGGGATCGCTCGGCCTCGGGGCCGAGGACCTGAGAGGAGGCGGCTGCTGGCTCGGGACGGAACGCCGCCGGGTGTGCGTTAGACCGGCGGGTAGACGCCCGCGGCTTGGGGTCAAGAATCTTTTCCTTTCTTTTTAGCAAAGGGCAAGGGGTGTGTGCGTGTGCGCTTGTGTGCGTGTGCGCGCCTGTGTGTGTGTGTGTGTGTGTGTATTGAGTGGCTGTGGTCGGCTGTGAGAACCGATTCATTCTCCGGCCCCCCTAAAAGGGTTCCATGTCTACAAATGAACTTCACCTCCTTCGCTTCTCCAAGCATCAAGTGCGCTTTCGGGCCGAGAGCAGCTAAGGGAAAAGGGGCTGGAATGCGCCGGGTCTCTCCTTGCTTCTACTTCCATCCCCCACCCCCTTCTTTCTGCTCTTTTCTATCAAAAATAATAATAATAAAATTTCTCATAGAATTGTATAAAGTTTCTCTGCCGATGCCCAAGTTACAGAAGGTTCCCTATCCTAACCCCCTTCCCCTAGAAGACGGTGTACTGGTTTCTATTTCTTTTGTTACCTGTGATCCGGGCGGGGGGCTCCTTTCGGCCGCTCCGGCTGGGGTCCGGCCCAGAGAGGAGGTTTCGGCGGGCGCCTTTGGCCGCGACTTCTCACTTCCGCGCGGTTCTGTTGAGGTTTTAGCTACCGTTCGGTGAGACACCCTCCTTGTAGGTACCAAAGGTTCAGATCGCAAACACGGACCCCCCCCCACCTCGACCCCTACACACACAGAGACACACTCACACTCAACACACACTCACAGACACACACACATTCTCCCTACTCTCCCCCCACCTCCAGCCCTCACATTGTCTTCCCCTCCCCACTTCCAAAAAAGCACACACACACACACATACACACAACATCTTACCCCCCACACACACACACACCAAACAAAAACCCAAAGACAAGTTCACTGGCAGAAGATGGTGGATTGACACTGACTCAGACAGAGGCAGGTTCACCAGGAAATCTGGCCGTCCCGATTTCTGACAGTTGCATTTCCTCTCCTTGAGTCCTCCCCCCCTTTTATTAACTCTGTTCCATGTTTAATCAAGGATCATGTAGATGGCAAAAGGAGAGACAGAGAGGAGAGAGGAAGAGAGAGAGAGGGGGTGAGAGGGAGAGAGAGAGAGAGGGAGAGAGAGAGAGAGAGAAGAGACAAGAGACAGAAGGAGGTTTTTTTTTTTTTTTTTTTTTTTTTTTTTTTTTTTTTTTTTTTTTTATTGTGTTCTCCTGGATTTTCAGTGGCTTGATCCCTATAAACGTGGAGTGGTTAAAGCTCATATGTAGTATTATATTTTTAGTTGGGTGGATGGATGGAAGAGTGAGAGAGAGGCTGCGGCTGCCGCTGCCTTTTCGGGTGTTGCTTAGATTAAGGCTGAGACTTGGCTGCGATTGGGACGCGACAGTGACACGGGCATCGATCGCTTCCATTGAGAGCAATGCAAAAACACAGCCCGGGTATGTAACACTCTCGGTGCCATCAACACTTGTTTTACTTTATATTTACTCGCAAAACTGACAGAGCAAGCTCAGACTTTCTTTCTGTTTTTTTTTTTTTTTTTTTTTTTTTTTTTCTGTTTCTTCTTTTCTAACTGAAGAATAAAAACAATTGTGTATAGAAATTGTTTGGAAAGGATGGTTTAAATAAAACAGAAAGGAGATGTTCGGAATTATTTCACTACCACTGTGACTGTGTTTAGGAGTTTTCCTTTTCCACTGAGGAGCATATTAAAGAGAATGAAGGTTTTCTTTTTTCTTTCCTCGTCTTAAAAAAAAAAAATTCCTTAAGGGAATATTTGATAGTTTTCAAGGTTTGTGGTTTCAATCAGCAGGAAGGCACACAAAAATAAAAGATGGCTAGCCAGCTGTTTTAACCTCTTGCACCTGGCTTCAGTGTGGGGATCATAAGGTTTATACAGTTTTTTTAAATGGTTTTAATATTTACGGTACAAACTAGGGAGAGTATCACTGTGGTTTTATTCAGTTGCTGGTTGATTTTGGATTTTTTTAAAAAGTAAACTCATATTCGAGTGTTTTTATGTTTATGGCAATGAAGATAGGGTCAATGAAATATGGGGGAAATACCATAAATCTGAAAAGTGAAATGTACCCAAGGAACAAAGAAAGGTCAGGTAAACCAGCTGTGTAAGTCAAAGCAATAGCACCAACTGTGGGGTTAGGCAGGGATAGTGGACTCTGGGTCTATGCAGTGAAAGTTGCCACTTAAAGTTAAAAATGAGGCAAACCTTCAGTGCTTTTGTAATTTTTTGCAGTGTTTAGCAGATAAGCCCAAATCTGTTCATTAATTTTGAGCTAGGTGGATTGTTTTAAAAGACGCTTCACCAGCAAAGGAAAACATAAAGGAGCTGAGAAAATCACTGTTTAATATTGCAGAATTTACTGCTTCCATTCTGACCATGAGCCTAAATTTACACAATGAAATTTGATTATCTCTAATAACAATATTAGATCCTGCACTGGATGGATGAGAATTGAGGTGGTTTTGTTGATTGCAAGGGTTTAATGTTGCATTTCAGAATCTGATGTGGTTTGGCCTCCCTTCCATTAACTGGAAAACCCCTGAGGTTTTACAATTATTTCTTAAAGATAATACATTTAAGATTGCATTGGTAGGCTGAAGAAAAGTCATAAAGGCAAGAAGGGAAGCCCTTAATAACTCTTGAGATTCAGACATGTTCAGCAGTTAGATTGGCTCTGACTTCACCAAGGGTCGACAATGTGTCATTTCCACGAAGCCAAATTGCCCTCTGCCTATATGATATTAATGTGCAAATCAATATTTCAGGGATTAAATTTCCCTTCTTCATTTTTTATGGTTTCTACCTCAATAAGTCTCAAGTCTATTAGAAGAGGCTGGATGATTTAAAATCTTTCACTGCAGAATGGCTTGTCGTAGTCTTGTTTCATAGACCATTTTAGGATTTTCTTTATAAAGACTAGAGACATCCTAAAGAAGTTGTCAGGCAGTGTAGACCCAGGCTCAATAGTGTAAAGCCCTTGTTCGATTAAAAGCTAAAAGGTATTGAAAATATAATATATATGTTTATGTAATATATATGTACATTCTGCTGCTTTAAAAATATTATGTTAATCACCTATTGATTTATTTCAAAATCAATTGAAGCTCCTTTCTTATTAGTGATTTGTTCAGCATTCTGGGGGACTGTGTTAATTTTCTTAAAGAGTATGCATGAATTTGCTTGGTGTGAAAGTATTGGGGAAGAGGATTTTTTAATTAGCAATATTTTTCTAAGAAATATTTTCAGAAACTATTTCTTATGAGAGTAATAATCAAGAGGTGTCATTTGCATACATTGTTGTTATAGCTATCATTGCATTTTGTGGCTGAATGACAGCTGATATTTGTTAAATGAGGCCTTCTTCAATTCCTTTTACATGTTGTTTCTAGCACTTAGTAGGTACAATGTTTCTTTTTATCCACTTACAGAAAGAAAATTATAAAAGAAAATATGTGACTTCATTGGAAAGAATACAAAGCAGAAATTTGGAGGGAGGTCAAAATAAAAGATTGTGACTTTATCATATAATCCAAGGAAGGCCTACTGTCTATCATTTGGTGGTGTTTTACAGTCTTAAACCCTCTGGACCAAGTTCCGCACAGCTGCACGAATTTCATATGTGATAGAACATTTTTTCCATTCAGTGTGAAATGTTCCTTCCTAAAAAACGTACACCAGACTCGCTTAATTTAGTCTGTTAAAAGAAATGCACATGAAAAAGGACAAAAGGCTCTTTAATCTCTGCAAGCTGTTTGTTTTTCTTCAAGATTCCTGTCTGTTTGGGTTTGAAAAGTCATGTTTATTGAGGAGATGATTCTGAGGTGTGACATTAAAATAATATATGATTTTTGGACTGGAGGCCACGCTTCTGCTTAATTTGCAGAACTACTTTTTATGCCTGTCAAAACACAGCGTTAATCTATCCTTATTTACAATTAATCTCAATAAAATTAATCTTAACTATGCTTTATTCAGTGGCTTAAAATATCTAATTATATTCAATTAACTGCTGTCATAGTAATTAACATTGCTTAATTGCCTCTGCATATATTTATGTAAAGCTTATTAGGTGCTGCTGACTCCTTTTCCGTTTCCTACTTGCTATTTTTGCTGTTGTCAAACCAGGTTCATCTCCCAAGGTTCGACAATGTCAATGAGAACAAATTCTTTCTTAACATTTTCTTGAAATGAATGTTCCTGCCTTCCTTTGAGAAGATACTCATTATGAGTCTTTAAAGACTAATCCATCCCCCAACTCTTCATTTTCCTCATCCCTGGTCTCTAGCACTCTGACAAAATATGTTCTGTCATTGTTGCTAGAAATATGAGAAGCCAGGTTAAGCTTTGTGTTTATAAATGAGGAGCCTTTCTGTGTCTGCCTAAGGGCTGTACCCATAGGAAGAGGGTTCCCCCCTTCTAAGACCACTCTAAGGGTTAAAGACTTGGCCAAGGTTCAAACTGAGAAGCGCCCAGGGAAAGTGCATGTGAATATGTACAAGTTTCATGTAATTAGTGCTTAATTATATTAACATATGCAAATTGTCAACTTAGGAGCTTGTTGAGCTGGCAAAGATCAGCTAGGCACAATTGCAGTATTGTTCTGAAACAATAATGGATTTTAAGTTGGATTGTGGAAACACATAACTAGCTATCTAATTTAACTCATACCGTGGTGAAATTTCATTAGTCTCCATGGAGACTGGTTTAATTGTGCTGACTAATGTTCTGGGCTGCAGAATGTCCTAAAAAGAAAGCGTTGTTTGCCTAATCCACCTTACAATGACACTTGTTTGTACATGTTTCCCTTGTGTGAGAATTTGCATATGCAAATAAATAGTTTCTCTGCCCCATTTGTCATGGCTGCTCATTACCCATGAAGAGGACATTGTTACTAGGCTGTTACTGAGTCTCCCAAGACGGGATAGTGTCAACCAGTCCAGCTACATTCTTTCATAATTTGTTTCTGATTAATAGACCAGAGTGAGTCTCATTCTTTTTGGGCATCTGTAAAAGGAAGGTCACTTCTGTCACGGAAAAGAGTTTCTGCAGTAACTGAAGGACTTTTTTTTTCTTCTTACTCTCTCCCTTTTCCATCCATTGGTTAACATAATCATATTTAAAATAATGGATTCTTGTTCTAAGAATGCCTCTACTAATAATCTCTAGTTTCCTAAAGCAAAAGATAGGTAAAGAAAAGAGATTCTGTTATTGGAATATTAATCCTGTTTTTGACAGAAAGGTAAACTGATATAATTGCTTTTCAGTTGAAGGAATGGGGGTTTATACAAGTGTGAAAGCATCGGAAAAGGATTAGCATTTTTTTGCATAATGAAAAGCTCTGTTGAATAGGGTCCTGAATGGCTGACTGAATGACTAAGATGAAAGGAAGATGAAAATGCAGGCTTCTCTTTCTTTATGTCTATGCTCTGCTCTCTCTAAAGTTATGTTTGTCCAAGACTTGAGAAAACAAGCATGGGCTCAGATTTCAGCAACTTTATAAGATGCTGTGTTTTCATCATCATTGGGAAGTAATGTGTATGACAATAGTGCAGCTAGAGGATGATCAACAGAGGTTTGTATATAGAAGAGTTTCAGAAACATGCCAGACTAGCCAAATATTGACTATTGGGTATCAAGAATTCCCAGCACTTTGCTGGCAAAAACAGATATTTCAGAAAAGGCCAATGGTAAGGTGTGGATATTTAATTCAGTTAATGATGGAATATAAAGTGCCTGTTTTTTACCCCATCAGCTATAAATAACTATCTCAATTGGCAAAACACTTCACTTGGGAAAGAGTTGTGTAGTCTGACTTTTGGCAATGTTAAGTGTTTTAAGTGGCCTATCAGCTTTTGTGGCTGGGAAGGGATAGAAGAGTATATAGATTATCTTATTTTCTTAAGATTTAATTCCTAAAGTTCTGAATATAGTCTTCATGTTGCTTTGTAGGTATATTGTGTATTTTATTTAGAGATAAGTCTTTTTAAAAATGTCTGTTTAAAAATAAGTTCACTCTTGGAGACATTGTAGTAGGATTTCCCCTTGTCACTAGTTAGGGATGTAACTGGTTATCAATTGACAATGTGATCAA